AAAGTAAATTGAAGAACATCTTATATAGAAGCAAAAGGATAAATTCTCACTCTTTCATGTAAATACATATACACACCTTAGCAGGTACAAGCACATATTCACAGTGTATGCAGTGGTTTCACTAGGGAGAAGCAGGTTATGTTCTGTGTTTCTCCAAATATGTTCTATTAAGACAGTGTGCACGTCTTTACTGCGTAAATTGACCTAAAGTACCTGTTTGCATTATGGATTTCCCAGATAGGCTTACAGACTTCAGCATTTCCCATACTTATTCAATTTCAGATTGCTTTTTCATCTTTGCTTTAGAACATCTTTGCCATATCTAATAAATCCGTGGAACACACTTTGAAAAAAAATCTCATTTAACTAATTTTAGGAAAAAAATATTTTTGTTTCTTTTCCTCTTTCATACCTTCCTTTGCTCACTCTACGTTAGTAGTAGTATAATTTAAGTTCTCAAAGGGCAAGGAAAGGCTACTTTTTTTTAATTTCCTTATGGTTCCAAAAATATTCCCAATCCAAATAAAATTCACCAATAGACATTGGTGGCAGAGTAATAAGAATCTTTGCCACAATCCCAAAGGTAAGCAGTTCGAATCCACCAGCCTCTCTGTGGGAGAAGGATAGACAGTCTCCTCCTGTGCAATTAACTGCCTGTGAAAATCCACTGGGGGTCAGCTGGGGGTCAGTTCTGACTCAACAGTACACAGAAGCAACAATAGACATCAAGGGAGCTCTGGTGATCTAATGGGTAAGCTGTTGCACTGCCAACTCAAAGACAGGCAGTTCGAATCCTCCAGCTGCTCCATGGGAGAAAGATGTGTAGTCTCCTCCTGTGTTGTTTACTGCCTCTGAAAACTCCTGGAGGGTCAACTATGAGTCAGTTCCTACTTGATGACAGTGAGGAGGAGGAAGAGTTGCCTTTTGGGTGGGCTGGCTTTTCTGAATACGAAAGGGATCATTCTGATGTTTGCTTTGGTCTCTCAATGACTTCTCTGTCAAACTTGTTTTATCAACAAACAAGGGTAAGATTTTATAGGCTGAGTGTTAGGATGGGACTGAACTCCACAACATAGAAGCTTTTCAGAATTGAGACTTAAAATTGTGTGCCAAAAATTTAGATTTCGAAGGGCCTTGGATCTTGTCATCTAGTTATCTAGAAATGTGGCGTACTATTGGGGGAATAGAAGAGGCCGTGGTGGTGTGATAGGTGAAGTGTTGGGCTGCTAACCAGAGGTCTGCAGTCTGAACCTACCAGCCGCTCCTGGGGAGAAGGGTGGAGCAGTGTGTAAGATGTGGGGCCTTGGAAATCTGATGGAGGCTTGCCATTAGTTGGAAACTACTCAGTCTGAGTAAGTGGGGTGTTTTGTTTTTGTTTTTTGTGCTTTTTGTTTTTGTTTTTTGTCAGGGGAAAAGAATTTCTCTCAAACCTCCTGCTAACCCAGAAAACTTCTCCACAAAAGTAGAAGAGGAAAAAACAATTTTACCCTTGAATTGGCATTAAACCAAAATACGATATGCATTAGAGGCAGTCTGCTGAAGAGATTACAAAGAGAGAAGGAAAGCTGACCCTTCATATCACTAAGGAGATAGCGCCCAGGCAGATGCTTTCATGCATGTTCTTAAGAAAACCAAGGACTAAGCCTCAAGTAAGAGGACTTAGCAGCACCATTGTCACACATAAACCAAAGAAACAGTTGTCATCAAATCAGCTTTGGTGCACGGCAACTTCATATGTGTATTTAGAGAACTGGGTTCCATAGGATTTTCAATTTTTGAAAATTAGTTACTAGATTTGAAATTGGGTATTTTCATAGATTATTTTTTTTGCAAGTGGTTGTGTTGTTGTTATGTGCCGTTGAGTCAACTACGACTCATAATGACCCTCTGGACAGCCCTGCCCTATCCTGAGCCAGTCTCACCATTTCAGACACATCTACCCCCACTTACACAGTTACCATGTCACTCCATCTCCTCCAGGGTCTTCCTCTCTTGTGCTCTCCTTACACCCTTCTAAGCATGATGTCCTTCTCAAAGAACTGGTCCCTTCTTGCCAACATGCCCAAAGTGTGTGAGATGGAATTTCAACATCCTTGCCTCCAGGACAGGAATAGCCTGGTTTCACCTTCTTCAGGACACACCTGTTTTCTTGGCAGTCCATGATTTGTTCATTACTGTTCTCCAGGTCCACAACTCAAAGTTACTTCTGCCATCCTTAGTCACTGTCCAGTCTTTGATGTATACCAAAAAATTGCAAAGACCATGGCCTGGATCAGGCATACCTAAGTCTCTAGAATGACATCATTGCTTCTCAGCACTCTGGATAGGTCCCCGAAAAGCAGAATTTCCCTAAAGCAACTCTTCTTTTGATTTTCTGACTGCTTATGCCAGGAGAGTTGATTGTGGATCCAAGAAAGATGAAATTGTTAACAACTTCAATCTTTTCTCCATCTACCATGATGCTGCCAGTTGCCCTGTTGGTGAGAATCTTTGTTTTCTTACTATAGAGCTTCAGTCCATATTAAAGACTGCAGTCCTTGACCTTCTGCATCAAATGCTTCAAGTCCAACTCAGTTTCAGTGAACAAGGTTGATTTTGGCAAGCAAGATTGATTGTTGTCATTTTCTTTTGTGACTCCTTTGGATGGACTTGAACCTCCAGCCTTTCAGTTACCAGTTAAATCCATTGATACATTGACAAATTAAAAAAAGAAATCTGCAGTTTAGTGATTTCTGACACATAGCAATCCTGTCAGGATCTTGTAGATGAACCATGTGTGTTTTACACATATTCATCCTAAATCCACTTGGCAATTGACATAGCTAGCCATGTTTACCAATTCCAAAGGGAAAGTAAATTTACTTATTATCTGTGTCCAAAGGGGAAGTATGTTTCTCCAGTTGTTCTGACAGGAGTAAGTTTGTAACTTGGAAATTATCTATTAAAATATTAATAAATTAATACATGACTTGCTGTTAAATGCCATTGAGTCGACTGTGATTCACAGTGGCTCTCAATCTTGCCTTGTCCTGAGCCATCCTCACAATTTCTGATACAGCTGGCCCCATTACACTATTATTATTAGCTTTAGACATTACCAATTAAGGGGGAGTTTTTCTTGTGTACCATCAAGTCAGAACCTACTCATAGCTTACCCTCCAGCGGAGTTTCAGAGATAATTTAATCTCATGGTAAGAGATTGTCCAAGCTTCTCCTGCAGAGCAGCTGGTGGATATGAACCACGTGCCTTTGGAATTACAGTGCAGCTTCTTATCCCTAGGCCACCAGAGCTCCGCAAAGAGAGGTTAAGGATTGAAATTAAGCTTGTAACCTCCCCATGGAAGACTCCCCATAGGAGACTAACAGAGATCCCATTTTCCTTGATGATTCTATGTCAGAGAAATGGCTTTCAGATCCTTGAGAAAAAGACATTTCTAAATTGCAAAACTGGGTAGTACTGCTCCCTGGGAAATGACGTTAAGGTAAAGCTGACTCAAAAGAGGAAGGAAAAAACTTTTTAAAAGTTTTAAAAAGATTTTTTAAAAGTTGTATATACAATTCAAAAGAGACAGAGAAAAAACTTAAAGGCTTTCTGAAGTAAATGTCTTCAAAGGGGGTAGGTAGGGCAGTTTCCTCCTTTTATAAAAAAACTACCAAACAGATGAGAGAGAGAGAGAACTGTTTAAAAGGTATATTATGTCATGACATGAGTCCTGAACAAAGACTGCCGTGAGTGGACATGGGGGGAGGGATTGTAGAACAATGTAAGAATTTTTCTTTTACTTTTCAAAGAAAAGAGAAGAACAAGTTGGAGGGGAGGGGTGGGCAGGGAGAAAAGTGCAACAATGAATGAATGGAAATCCAAAATCACTGTAAATTTTCATTAAAATTAATAATAATAAAAAACTTAATTCTTTTAATTTTCCTTTCTTCTGTTGCGCCCTCCATCCTTCTGAAGTGCACATGAGAGAAGAGCTTGTTTAGAGATTTCTGTGCAGGAGTGAGCCTGTGTGTAGGACATGAGCTTCTTTTGCCCTGGGTCCTCCACACGCTCATGCACTTCCTCTCTGCTCCCAGGCTGAAGGAAGACGCCAAAACTGCCATTGAAGCACTTGGAAGTAAAGAGATTAGGAAGATGAGATTTCGATCAAGCTGGGTATTTCTTGCAGCAAAAGGCTTTGAACTTCCTGCCAATATTCAGAGAGAAAAGGTGAGTTGTCTTGAAATCTCCCTTCTCACACGTGGTCTGTACAGTGATTGTTATGGTTACAAGGGGTCCTTGGTGAGCCCAGGCTCCCTTCCTGCAGACATGTCAGTGGGAGTGAGCCAGAACAGTGCCTGGTCCTGTGTCTTGTCCCTGATTGTTTTCAGGATGGAGTGTTATAATCTTTAGGGTTTTCACTAGCTGACTTTTAGGAACTGTATTGGCAGGCCAGTGGTTCCAGACCATCTTAGTCTGGAAGCTCTGCTGAAGGCTGTTTAGCATCATAGCAACATACAAGCCTCCACTGACAGATGAACACCTTCATGCATGAGAAGCATTGACTGGGAATCAAACTGCGATCTCGCTCAGAGAAGGTAAAACTTCTACCCCTGAACCACCAATGCTGCTACCTCTTTATTCTTAAATTGACAAATGGAATCTACACTGTTGTTGTTATGTGCCATCAAGCAGCCCTATATACAACAACTCTGAACCCTACTCTATCCTGTGCCAACCTTATTGTCTCTGATATACCTATTCCCATTATCTCAGTCACTGAGTCAATCCATCTCACAGAGGGTCTTCCTCTCTTGCACTGTCCCTCCAACCTTCCAAGTATGACATCTCCTATTATGTGATTTATAGCCTCTGAAAATCTGCAGAAGGGTCAGCTCTGAGTCAGTTCATACTCCACAGCACCTAACAACAAACAGCACACCATATATCTGAATTCTACTCTGTACACAGCCAACTCAATAAACTGGTAAAATCAAGTGAAAATGTATGCCTTCCATCTGTTGATACACTATTATATGTAAAGGAGGCCATCATAAACTTTTTTAGTTAGGTCAATGTTAGAAAGACACTTAACAGAAGTTTCAGATATCTCAAATCTCTTTAAAATTACAAGCTGCTGAAGGACATTAAGCTCATTGAAATATCTTAGTCACAAAAGGACAAATACAGTATAACACCACTGTTATGAAATGGAACTGTCATGAGGGACTTGGGGGAGAATGGGAAAAGAGTGGCTAGATAATGAACACTGCATTGGAACAGATGAGGGGAAGAACTGTCTGAAAGGAATATATAATTAGGTATTATATGTATGACAACAGTCTAGGACAAAAGGTGTATTGCAAAGTGGACTGGGGAGGCTAGAGGGAGGAAAATGTGCAACAATGAATAAATAATAAAAGCAATAAAGTAGAAGTTCTGAATTCATCATCGATAATGATTTTCTAACACTGCTGTGACACAGTCCATCTCAAGTCCTCCTGTGCATGGATATCGATTTAACCTCTCTGCACCTCCGTTTTCAGAATACTGGTAGGTGGCGTAGCACATCGAGGGGGCACTGCTAACAAAAGGCTGCACTTCTCTGGTGGTTCAACTTCACCAGTGGTTCTGTGAGAGAAAGACAAGTGGTTTCCTCCATGTGGTTTATGGCCTTTGAAAACCACTTGCAGGGTTAACTGTGAGTCAGAATTGATTCAACAGCAGTGACTTTAAGTTTGAGGGTTTTGGGGTTTGTTTTTTCCTTTTTTTTCTGATTCAGTTAGTTTTTCATATGTTTTTAAAATTATGTTTCATCCATTTACATTTGGTTTTTTTATAAGCATACATATACATTGTGTTTTCTAGAATTCCTGGTGACCTCTATGCCTTTTATTACTCCATCTCAAGTCCCCATTGTATCTTCCTTATTCCTTCACACACACCTCCCCACCTGCCCACTAATCTTAGCGATCCCATTGATTTCCCTTCACTTCTTCTGCCTCTTTCCCCCCTTCCTCTTCCTCTTCCCTTTCTGGTCAGTTATACCTGTCATATTACTGTTTGCTAATTGCAATAGCTGTATTGCTCTTATTGAATTTCCACCTGGGGTGTAGCCCCAGGGTGGTACAGACAGTTAAGCACTTGGCTCCTAACCAAAAGTTTGGCAGTTTGAGTCCAGGCAGAGATACCTCAGAAGAAAGGCCTGGTGATTTATGTCTGATAAATCAGCCATTGAATAGCCTGTGGAGCCAGATAACCTGTTCTGCTCTGTATGCACTGGCTTGGCATGAGTTGAAATCAGTGGAAGGTCAACTGGTGGTTCTAATTGCACAAGGGTTAGCCAAGGTGACCCAGGCCAAAGGGTGCATACCAAGGAAGCATTATTAATGTCGGTCTTCATTGTTGTAGTTGTACTCTAAGCTCTTGCATGACTGGTTGCATAATCCTTCCCTTTATGCTTTTGTTTATCAAAGAAAAACAAAGAACAAGACAATCTAGTTTTAATTTATTAATTACTGTGGTTCCTGTGAAAATTCCCACCACGAGTTGGCAAAATGAGTCCTAGTCATGAGCTGACACCTCGGGAGACAGCCATGCAGCCTCCTCTGGGTGGAGCTGCTGTCCAGGAAACGACGCTGCTCAGCAGTCCAGGGAACTGGCCGCACCACAGGAGCAGGTGAGAACCGGACACGCAAGAGTCAGAAGAAGAGATGGCACATTTGGATTACAGGGAGGGTGAAGAATATCAAATACACCGCACACTGCCAGACACACAAACAAATCAGCCTCAGAAGAAATGCAACCAGAATGCTCTTGAGAAGGAAGCATGGTAAGACATCATCTTGTTTACTTTAGATACAGCCTCAGAGAAAACCACTCACTACAAAAGGATATCATGTTTGGTAAAATGGAAGGTCAGCGAAAACAATGGACACCCTTCAAGAAACGGACCAGCATGGTGGCTGTAGCACTGGGCTCTGATATACTGACAATGGTGATGGTGGCGCAGGACCAGGCTACACTTTATTCGGTTGGGCACAGGTCTGCCATGTGTCAAAACTGACTTGACAGCAACCTTGAAAAGACAAAGTTCTTCTTTCCCGTTAACTGCATGTGTGAAGACAGGTTGCCTCTGATTTCAGGCTCACACATTAGGCCCCAGTCCCAACTCCTCTTGCTGTCTGGTTTGGGTTTTGGAAAGAAGAGAACAGTAGCAGCTGTGCATCTTTTACATATTTATATACAAACAGACAGACACTACCCTGGATGTGCTCACTAAGTTGTGCCAAGAAATCTGGAGGACAGCCAGCTAGCCAACTGACTGGAAGAGACCAATATTTGTTCCCATTCCAAAGAAAGGTGAAAAGTGAGGAAATTGTCAAACAATATCATTAATATCACATGCAAACAAGAGTCTGCTAAAAATTATCCAAAAACTACTAGAGCAACACGTCATCCGAGAACTTCCAGATGTGCAGGCTGGATTTAGAAGAGGTCATGGTACTAGGGACATTGTAGCTAATGTTAGATGGATCTTGGCTGAAAACAAAGAATACCAGAAGAATGTCTATTTGTGCTTCATTGATACTATGCCAAGGCATTTGACTTTGTGGATCATAGATAGCAAGCTATGGCTGACTCTGAGAAGATTAGGAATCCCAGAACATTTGATCGTGCTAATGTGAAACCTATACTTGGACCAAGAGGCAGTCATTAGAATAGAGCAGGGAGACACTTCATGGTTCAAAATCAAGAAGGAGGTCCACCAGGGGTGTGTTCTGTCTCCATACCTTTTCAACCTGTATGCAGAATAGATCATCCGGGATGCTGGGCTGTACAAGGAGGAATGTGGCATTAGGATTGGTGGAAGATTCATCCACAACCTGCGTTATGCGGATGTTACAACCTTGCTTGCTGAAACTGAGGAGGACCTGAAGCCCTAGCTGCAGAAGGTCAAGGGCTGCAGCCTCCTATATGGATTGAAGCTCAGCATCAAGAAAACAAAGATTCTCACCACTGGGCCAATTGGCAGCATCAGCGTGGGATGGTGAAGAGATTGAGATAGTTAACAGTTTTAGTTTGCTTGGCTCCACAGTCAACACTCTTGGTACCAGCATCCAGGAAATCAAGAGACGAATTGCATTGGGAAAGTCAGCTGTGAGGGCTCTTGTACGTAGGGTTGCTATGGGTCACAAGTGATTCAATGGCATATAACAACAACAGCATATATAAATATATTCTAATACATATATTCTGTATTGTTGTTGTTGATGATGATGGCCTTCATGTTCAGCATGACTTATATCAACCTCATGAACAAAAGACCTGAAACCCCTCTACAGCCATCAACATATACTGGTTTATTTATAAAGTTTATATACATTGTTTATTGTACCACATCTTTCCCATTGCCTTTCCCACTCTTCCCTTCATTCATCAAATGGTATGACCCTATGATTAATGCCCCCCCATCGTCACCCCTCTGCTTCCCTTTCTCCCCCTCTTGAATCCTCATACTGGTTCTACAATAATGGTCTTATACACTATTTGTCTCTATGGGACTGAGTTCACTCAGCATCCGTGCATCATTTTGTTGGTGAGTGCTCCACGTGGAAGAGAAAGGAGCTATATCAGTTACAACATCTGTACAAGCCAAATGGCCTTGGAGACTCTGGCTAGCTCCTGACAGGATCCTGAGACTTTGCCAGTACACTCTATCTTAGAATCCAGAGGCTCAGAAATTAAGATTTTAGCCTACTTGGAAGACCCTGCTTCCCATCTGAAAAGCCCCTCTTGTACTTTCTCTGTTCTTCTACACCAGGATGCCAGCACTGCAGCCAGTGTTGGGAACACTTGTCAAGGCCCTCCTTCTTGACCTGTCTTTATTAAGGATTAGGTCTGGACACCTTAGTGTATACTCAGGACCACATGGGTGTGCCCCAACAGATGGGGAATGTTCTGTACTCTGCTCAGTGGAACTTCCTGACTGGGAGGCAGGTGGCTGGGACTCCAGAGTTAGCTTTGTCAGTTCACCTCTCTGGGCTTCAGAATCCTGAATAAGTAAGATATTCAGGCCCAGCAGCTGTGACATTGACTCCTTCAGCATGGCACCCCGCATGCTGACTCTGCTCAGGTAACACGGGCTTCTTCCTCATCCGCATCAGCCCTGGTGTGTTCAGATTACCTCTTAACTGGCCTCAGGCCAGTTGGTTGATCTCGCTAAGCCT